GAATTAGTACTTTTCACGTATACGTGGAGAAATTGCGAAGTGTAGAAATGAAACATATCAGATAGTTCTCATTGAAATCAGGAAACGATATACACGATTTATTCCGGTGAATGGGAAAACAACTTGCTCTTACGAAAACACATTATTTCAGATGGTGATGACAAGAGACTAGTGAGGAATTATCGAAGCTTGCTCTGCACAATACCAATTGAGATGATATTATCATTTGGAACTGAAGCACGAAAAAGTATTCGTGATTCAACACCAATTAACACTTTGATGATGTTGACCTCATCATCGGCGCTACGATGAATCACGAATGTAATGTTGGGCTCAACTGTCTCTAATAAAGGACAAACATCAATTTGGGTAAAACTGTGCCTGTCCGGTGTTGAATTACGAAAGGTTTGTTTTTGAGATCTGGTTTCGAAAGTCTTATTGAAGTGCAAGCTGCACACTAATTACAGAGGAAGGATATATTTTGGTATTATGGAATCTTGGCTTTGCAATAGATCGTTACAGATATACTCGTTTGAGTCTCTTGCCAATCCCCTAGGTGGCATCTACGCAGAAAGAAATGCCCGTACTCCATATTTTTGATGGACGTGCAGACTATTCAGTGCTGCTTCGCCTTCCTGTCCAATATCGTGAAAAACGATAAAAATCCATATATAAAAATAGGTATTCATTTTTGAGTTCACTTATTTTCTCCTTCCTTTTCTTTGTTTTCTCCTCTTTCTGATCCTCATTATATAACTCGAGAAACCTAATATTATTATTTTTCGTGGTGATGGATGACCAGATACAAATGAAAATTCGCGATCTGAATCAAAAACCATTTATGTGCACGTCAAATATAAAGTATTTTTTGTTATTTCAATGTGTGACTTTTTGTTTTCAGTTAATTCTTGATGAACAATTGATGTTATATCAAAATCATTATTAGTTCAGCATTATCCAAAGGAACAATGATATATTATAATGGTTATTGATGAATATTCAGTTCTGTCATTTTATGCGAAACATGATGTCATCCTCAATATCAATTTGTTGGAGGATATTTTCGAACACTTATTCATAATTCATATGATCTATGATTCATAGGATCAATCAATTAAGATAGTATTCTATACAGTTTTACGTGATGGAATTGGCAAAACTGAAAATTCATAAGGTTTTCAAGTAATGCTTTATTGTCAGATGATCACTGGACGGTTTACAAAATGTCAACACGTGTTTTGCTATACAATAGCTTCCTCAAGTATTTTCGTACTGCTAATCAGTGCCACATATGATAACAATTTGAATCATATGACCTTATGACTGAAAATTCATACATGAATTTAGGCGGAAAATAGTTTAAAATTCTAAACATCATAAAATAAAATGTCTCAGCTAGATTGATATAATTTCTACACTTTTCTTTCGTTTCATTTTTCATCAGAGTACACGATACTTGTTTTTGGGTGACTACGGGAATTTTGACACAACTGTCTATTGCATTTTTTAGAATGGGTAATTTTTTTCCGGAGTTTTTGTGGAATCTGCATTTTTTGTTTTGTTTGCTTTCTCTACATTCTTGAATTGATTGATTTGTTCGTTGAACATATGGATTTTCTGACGTAACTCATCAATTATTAGGTCTTCTGGTTCAACCACATAACTGAAAATACTTATGTTCATCTTTTTTTCTGATGATATATTTTTTATGGCATCAAAGAAGGCCTAGTCAATATCTCATTCATGATTACTCACAATTTGTGTGGATGATTCACAACTGGTGATTGAATCGTTATTGATTGAATTGACGAAGCTATAGCTTTTATGAAAATAACTTTCACAATTTATAATTCTCATAACTTCAATTGAATGTACATCGAATGGAGAAATTGATTCCTACTTCTATAGTATTTCCAGTATCAATTGGAACAGCACAGAAAAGGAATTCCCGCCTCGACATAGGCGTCGGCATATTATTTTTCAGTGGTAGTTTTTCAGTTACTTTTTCTTACAATCACCCCATGAAAGAGTTATCTCAACTGAATTTTTCGACCATGGGTAATTATGAAAAACTTCAAAATTTGAGGTAGTTGATTTTCGAGTCGAAAACTCGGAATACAATACAATACAATGAAAACACAAAAAATAGAAGCCAACGAAATTGCTAGAAAAATCAAAATTCTTCTTCGCTATATTTGGATGAGGTGGAATCATCATCGGGTTGAATAACGATCGGATTTATGAAACTTTGGACATAATATGTGTTCTCTTCTTTTATAACGAGGGCCACACAGTTCTTCCACACATCACCATTACCTATTTCATTCACCACTCGCCTTATATTGTCAAGCACTACAGCATTCAAAGTCGGTGACTGATTACATTTCCGCAAGCTTTCTTTCATTGTGGCCCAAACCATTTCAATTGGATTGAATACACAATAGTATGGAGGCAAACGTAAGAGAATATGACAACGTGTTCCACACATCAAAACAATAATATACCCTTTTTTGAAATTACGTTGTTTTATGGTCGCCAGTAATCCCTTTTTTGATGGAATCTTTTCGGGTATTTTCATGTCATGATTTCGCATGAAATCAACAATATCTGCTTTTTTTTGTCATTGTTTGGTATTGTAGTCAATAACCGAGAGTGATACGAAGCGTTATCCATAACAATAACCGAGTTTGGAGGAATATTTGGGAGAAGCTGCTCACTGAACCAGGTTTCGAATAAAGCTGCAGTCATATCTACGTGGTAATCAGCAGACGAATCTTTTATATTTTTGGCCGACAGAAGCAAAGCGTTAGGTACGAAACCACTTTCATTTCCGGCATGCAAAATTATAACACGTTTTCCCTTCGAAGAAGGGTTTCGTCTACCCAGCCATATTTGACAAAATCATGGGTGTCAAACCAACTTTCGTCGAGGTAAATTATATGTCTGCTGGATTCTCGGTAGCTTTTCATTCGCCTCAAATATTTTTGTCGGAGTTGAACAATGCGTGTCGATTTCATTATGACTATCCGATTGTTAAATTTTTTATTTTCGAAACCACAAAACAATAAGACACCTCGTAGAGTTTCTAAAGATTTGTAATTGTAATCGGGATAGTCGAGTAATTTATACCAAATCATTTCCAAGGTACGAACTTCATTTTTTTCGTATATACCATAAATTGTTCGCCAAATCACATCTTTTGTAGAACCATCAACGTTTGCGAATTTTGTATTCCTTTGTTTTCGTTTCATTGCATGGTCAATGACATCCCCTATTTAAATGACTAGAAGAACTGTCGAACGAGATAGTTTCGTTAACTGGCATATTCTATTCACAATAGCATTCTTTGAAGTGTGAAAGTTTTCCTTCTTCAAGCATTCATGAATATATCAAATTACTCGCTGAACTTGAACATGTAAGTCCTTATTTTCAAATCCCGTATCCTTGTCGATTGACACAGATTCCTCACACGTAATGTTATCATTTGTTTCAAAAGGTTTCCAGAAAGCCATATTGACGAAAGTACTCAAAAATACTAAGATTTTTACAAACATCGGTTTAAACGATGAGATTCAAACCTTTGGTGTAAAAGTTGAATAGTTTTTCTAGAGATCAATTACCCTAACACCAAACTGATATTTTCGCACTCGACGCGCGTTTCGCTAACAAGGTTAGCATCTTCAGGAGAAGCAAATTGATACTGAATCTAAACAAGGGTAAGCTGTTTATACACCTGAAGTTTTTTGGTCCGATGTGGACTTCGTTTGTTGAATGATGATTATCCTAATTGAGTTTTTACACGCTCCTTGCTCCTTGTAGACCATCGACTTGTATGTACGTGTATCAGATACCAACGGAAAAACAATATCTAACCCGCGCAGAGAGTTGAAACCATCAGGCACCTGTGCAATGTCTTGCACAGAAATACATTTGCACGAATTTCATAGTTGAGGATATGTGCACAGAGATAGTTCGAATTTAAAGTAAAATAATAGGAAAGTGCCACTCAGAATGCGCCAATGAAAGTAATTATTCCACGTTGGCTCTTCAAAATTTTCGTAAAACACGAATTGGGATTGTGAAAAATGTTTAGACGATCAAATGTTCAGTGTTAAAGGTTCGGACTTGTGTTGTGTTGTGGTAACAGATTTTAAAACTATGAAGAATTTGGATATAATTCTTGGAAATATAAATAACACTAATAATACTGAAAATAACAGGACCTTACAATTCGAATGAGTTAATTGAAAAGAAAACTAAAGTTAGAAAAGAAATAAAAAAGGGTATGAAATTAATTCGAAAAGGAAACAAATTATTTTGAACAGGAATCGAAAAGAATTATTTAATGGGTTCAACAATGATTGCTCTGATTTCTATATACGTGAAATTTATATTTATGATGAGTTGTTATTTGTTCCCTCCCAACTTTGCCTAATACAGACATTTTTTTTGACATATTCCAATGAATAAAAATATGTTTACCGTTCCTTCTGGCATCATGACATTGAGAATGGCAAATAATGCATATTATAACTGTGGAAATACAACTAGGGTCCTTACAGTTATAACAATTGATCACATCACAACGAACTAAACAAACACTTGTGCGACAACAGGACAAGTTTTCATCCGCGGCGAACGCGTAAATCACATTATTGAACTAATATCCAGTAGTATTCTCTTCTCTGAATATCAGAATGAATCTGGAAAATTAGGAAAATAAAGTTCATGAAATATTGGTGAATATGACATTGTAGAATATGTAATGATTGTGTAATTTCAAACCAATTGTTTTTAGTGTAAAAAGAATATTATTTAATTCAAATTGTTATTATATCAAGCAGTAATTAGGTATAATTTAATCAGTATGAAAACACCTTTGTATAGTGAATCACATGTTGCGGTTTTGTAAACTGTCCGGTGAAAATGTCACAATGAAGTGTTACTTGAATACCATTTGTTGAAAGAGGTATATCATCATTATTACTATTATGTTTCAGGAGCTGAAGCAAATCTTCGCTGAGTTCACTTGTCTATTCATCTTTCTGACAGTAGCGTATGGAGCAGTAACCGAAAGAGTTCTTTACGACGTACACGGTAACATCCTCCAACCAAAAGAAAACCAGTTCAGAGATCCAAGAGACTGCTGTATAGTGCCAACTTGTGAGGAATCCGGCCATTGCTTCGAAACAATAAGTTGTGGTCACATTTGCAGTCAGGGAAAATACCGACCTGCCTACTACGGGCCGACGGCCGGATACAGATTGAAGAGCTTTTATACGAAATTTGAATGTCATTTTGGAGAATGTCGGGATTATAAGTTTTTGTGTGCCCATTGTCCAGACCCGAATATGTCAGATTTCAGTATTTATACTGTCAGGAAGGACTGTACGAACTGTTATTATTGAAGTGGGAGTGTGGCGAAAAACTTCAGATGAAGACATACAGAAAAGAACTGTCCATGAATGTTCAGTTCATTTCGGATCTAAGTCGGTGACCAATTGATACTAAAATGATAGTAATGGATTCAATTGTTATAGATTGAGATACGTTTTCGTCAGAAGTGAGGTACAAATCTGAGGTTGTAAAAATGTGATATATTTTTGAATCATAAATTATGATAGTGTTAAGTGAATTAGTAGCAGAAAAGATATTTGTAAGACTCCGGAAATAAATGATAATAATAATATTTATTCCTTTGGTTGAAAAGTACAGTTGAAAGAAGTCAATGCAAAATTTGCTAAAGCTGAATATCTCGGGTTAGTTGATTAGTGAATTCTTGAATGGTTCAACACGTCCTTTGAATTACTATTTTTCTCAGCTTATGTTTTGAAAGAGAGGACTGAACAATGGATTTATTTTTTTAAACATATGAACTAGCCTCTAGTATATAAGTGCTGGCAACTGTAATTGTTTTCAGCTGTTTAAAAGCATCTCTGTATGAATCTCGGTACCCTAGCGTAGCTATTATTCCAACAGCATATTTTTGGAAAAGAAATATCATTTTGACAGAAGCACTCCAGTTGAGAATACCATGATGGTGAATGGAAGTTAGCATGGTACTATTTTAAGAGTGTAGTAGAGCTGCAGTGATTTGACATGAATCTAATAGAATAGCAGCTTTTCTTCAGTTTATTACATAATGTATCAATATGTTGATTCCACAATTATTTTCCATGTAGAACGTTTCCTAGCATATTTACAGTTTCCACAGGACTAATTAATTTTTCACTATTTTCATATGGTATACATTCGATTCCTTTTGACCACGTCTGCTGAACAATATGGTGTTAGTTTTAAATTTGTTGAGTTTCAAATTGTTTTTTCCAGCTCACAATATGATTTTATCATATACCGGGTGGCCCGAAACCAATTTACCCCCCTGTATCTTCGTTGTTATTCTATATGGATGTTTTCATTTGGTACTTTGATTTGATGCTATGAATGTACGATTCAGCAAGTATCAAACCGAATATGACACTTCCGGTTTAACCAGAAGCGCATTAAATTTTTATATTTCAAATGGAAAGTATGTATTTTTTTAACAACTACGATTTAGTATAGAATTACCTCAACAATGATGTCACAATCATACTCCCAATTCACAATCTGCCGATATAATTGAGATTTATAAAAAATCATTTTCAGTATTCCCCTCGTAACGAAACATTTTCATGAAAGTATGCCATGGAATATTGAACAATATCGTATAAATAATAATAATGTATGGCCAAACTTTTTACGCAATAAGTTGTATGCAGACTAACTATTTTTATAAATTTAGTTTTTGAATACTAACTTATGAATTTTTAAAGTTGGTTGAAAACTCCAATACATATTGTAATACAATTCCAATACATATTGAAATACTGAACATGAAAGACCCTCTATATTTTTGTTTCCTATTTATTTTTTATGAGGATAATTTCCATGGTATACCTACATTTGTATTGAACCTTTCAACTTCATGTTAGTTTATTGTGGCTCACACCTAATCGACACTTGACCAAATAAACTCAGCTTTTTAACAAAGCCGATTAGTTTGTATGGTAAGTGGTTTTTCAGGTCAGATGGTTAGAGTACGGCTCTGCCAAACTTTAAAAACCTGATTCGGTCCCCAGCGTGGCAGGCACAAAGTATATGTGCTCTGCTGTTTCATTATTTTCGAAATAGTGATAACACACACTCTCTTCCGACAATCCGGTCTCTGCATATGATGATTCAAATGAAGTGACTCATAAAAAAGTCTGTTAGATATCGTAGTTCATCTCTACTGTAGTCCAACAACTGTTTGGTATCAAGCTTCACCTTGGATTGAGCTAATCCTGGAATATTCTGCCAAAAGTCCATGAATCTTCTTGCTATCCAGGTGTTCAGGTCAGTATGGCCAGGAATCCAGACCAGAGACAATCTTTCAAGTCTCCTATCGAGGAGAGATGTTTTTGGCAATATGCTACCAATTTAGACGTTGCCCGGTAGGAGCCAAGAGCTACCAACGCCGCTTTACTATTCAAGAATTTTTTTATTGACTTGTGTATGAGGTTAGATTCTTTCAATCTCTTCACACACGATTCAATAGCGTTAATTTTTGCTTGAAGTACAGTCGCATAGGTTCCTAGGCAGGTTTATATCTCTGTTCTGGGTCCGCGACTGAAAACACCTGCACTAGAACCGGAAGGTGTTTTCAATCCCTCTGTGAACCAACAACTATCTGCTCTCAATATTTCCTCTCTAAGAGGATCCAGTTCTTTCTACTCGGGAACAGTACTTTATAAGGAAGTTCGTAGTTGACAGATGGAGGCATGATGTCAGAGGACATTTCCAGAATGCTGTGACTCTCAGTGTCAATCAACAATCTGCTGCACTCTGCATTAAATTGATTTGTACAATTGGCAATGTTCACAAGTTTTTATGCAGTCCATCTAGCCTCTCTCTCCAGGAAAATATAGAGGGATGGTAGATCTAGAAGGATCTCCATGGCCGGGGACGATGTGGTACAGATGGCACCACTGATGGTCAGACAAGCCTGTCTCTGTGAGCCAGAGAACTTCGCCTGGGCCGTTTTATGTAAGCCCCTCGGCCACCAGGCAATCGCATCATTAGTGATCATTGGTCTGACAATCATCACATAAATCCAATGGATTCGTTTAAGACCTAAACCTCAAGTTTTACCACAAATCCTTCGGCCTGTCCATAGGGACAGTCTGGCTTTGTGTAAAACTTTTTCCAAGTGAGCGTTCCAGGTAAGTTTTTTATAGAGAACAATGCCAAGATATTTCACCTCAGTTCCAAATGGAATGACCTCACCATCGAGGGAATGTGGCGTTAGATCGTCCAATTTTATCCTTTTCGTGAAGGGGATTATCTCAGTTTTGCTGGGGTTGACAGACATCTGCTCTCTCAGGCACCAGCTGTGAACAACGTCCATCGTGCCTTGGAGGATATAACAAGCTATCCTTTCCGACGTGGAACTTGCCAACATCAGTTTGTAATTCCCTTGATTTGGACTCGTTCAATGCACTCCTGAATGAGGTGAAAAATATTCGTCATAAGAAATTCAAAAAACATTCAGATGGTTTTCCATCAGGAACTCTTCGTACACTCTTGACGAATATAAAATTTGCCACCTATTTCACTACAAGAATAAGTTATTAGCACTCATTTTTATATTGTATACCAATTTTAAGATTGTGATATCAGCAACTTTATTTATAACTTTTTTCTCATTTTTATAAACACCGTGTACCCTCTCGCTGTGTATGTTCATGTATTGTGACTCGCTACAAATGTTTTCAACATAACGTAGTCGAATGAAGTATCTATCTATCTACATATGTAAGTGCTTTACCATTTTGGTCTTTTGTTCACTTGAGTTTCAAAAATGACTCTACTTACACAAGATATGCTGGAATCAATGAAGACATGATTTTGTGAAAAAACTCCGCTCAAAAAATACTTTTTTTGGCTTCCTCCTCAACAGAAAATAAAAAATCTTCAAAACTGAAAAATACTGAGAAATTTTTGGAATCATCCATGATAATAAATATAGAATTTACGCAATTAATATTATTCAAGACGCCTTCCGCTACGCGAAAGCTTCATCAGTTGGACTAGTATATCAAACTATTCTACAATATATTTGGCTTACCGGACCAAGTCAAATTGATCAAAATCAATGAAGACAAAACTTCAGTGTCGTATAGATGAGAAGCATATGATTTGACTTGTAGTTCTTGCCCAACATTTTATATGGGCCAAACGGAGAGAACCTTTTTCGAAAGGATGAAAGAACATGAGTAGTTATTTGAATATGAAGACGAATTTCACGTTTGCAAATCATCTTCTGCATAATTGACTGATTGTAATGGAACAGGTATATTTATAATGAAAAATCACAATAGAATATAACTTCTAGGAAAATAGATGAAATATTGACATATCTAAGGAAATTATTTTGTTGCCTTGCCTACTTTCTCTCGTTCATTGGTGTTGATTCAGGAACATTTGGTTGAATTTTCTGCAAGTTCTGACGACGATTTGGTCACTTTGTCCATGTGTGATAAATAATTTCATAAGAATTTCATTTGAACAATTGATATTTGCACTCATTCTGGAAGATGTTTTGAAACACCGTCGATTACTATTCATAAATTACTTATGAAAGTAACCAAACTGTTATAACCTTGATGATTCCACTGCAACCTAACACCTAATTCCTAAAAAAATATGTTTCCAGGATAACTGACTTTATTAAGAAAACTTTATGATTTAGGTATAGGGATATGATATATCATATTGAAACATTTTTTATCACCCTCCAATTCATCGAGTAATATACAGGGGGTTTCATTTGAAAAAATGAACTTTTGGCCACTTTCATGCATAATGGAAGTAATAGTAACTTTAGCACGCCCTGTATGGTATGGAGTCGACTTCTTGGTTTCAATTAATCATTTCGAATTTCTTGAAACTATCATCAGAATATTAACTTTTCATGAATTGAGAGTACTGATGTACTCTATATTTCTATGTTTCTATGTTTTTTCACCACTTGTATTTGTTTCTGCAGTTTCATGGTATTTGTATTCAGTTTATTGTATTATTTTGAAAATGCCCTTATGTGACGAAACTGTAGTAACGAGTGGTTGAAAAACATAGTGACTTTTGTTTCTCATTTTTCATGAATTACATCCAATGAAATACCATATTTTTCATCAGAATAGAACTACTATTACCTTCCTCAAATACGCATAGAAAGGATGTGAAGTGCTAAATGAATTTGAGCAATACAGCATCGCAGTATGATTCGTCCTGCAGAAGTGAGAATTCATTTTCTGGTCTATCACCCAAAAGCAATACTGCTGGACGAATGGAAGCTTCTACAAAATGACTTCAATAGGAATTCTTACACAAATTTTTGTCGGATTTATTTCAAAATCCATCGTGGTGTATGCAGAAAACAAATATTTCCTGTCTGCTGTTTGCTAATTTTTATTATACTAAATAGTTTTCAGAGTCAAGGTTCAATCTAATATTATTTGACTATATCTTTACTGCAAGCTACAAAATCAACTACGTGCTAGATGAATATTAATATCATTTTGTTTTGATTCATATTGATTTGTATTAGCAGATAATCGTTTCTCAACGTGTTGGCTTATGCAATGTGTCAAGTTCATTTTATATCTTCAATATGGGGCAAAACCGTGAAAAACAAGCATGACCTTTATGTTGCATCACAAGTTCTCGTGANTATATATATATATATTCGTTCATATAGTACGCGCCAACTGAGATGACAAAATTTGTAATGTATAAGTATGATGTGGGTTGATAAATTGGTTACTGACAGATCTACAGGGTGTCCCAAACCTCTGACAACATTCGAAATCGCCGTTATCTCAACAGTTACAGAAAAAAGTTACTATGTTGAATTTAAGGCACCACTAAGATCCATGTGTCATTATGTGGTGAAACCATAATGTTATATTTTTTCTTCAATAGGAAAAAATATAACATTATATTTCTATTTTTCCTAATTGCATATTTTTCTTAATTGCCTCTTCTATTATTTATTTAATTATTGATCGTTATTTATTGAAAGAAGAATTTTTTTTAAGTCTTTTCAATATAAACTTCTTGTCATGTAACAATAAATCATAAGGATTTTATTACTTGCACTTTCAGTAGTTGTAGGATCATTAACATTTACTTATTGTCATATTTGTATGGAGTTTGTATGGAGTCATTCTGTTAATTTAATTTTAATGAGTTTACTCATTAACCTTCTTCAAATTTCTGATGCTCACAACGCTAGTGAAAGGCTCAAATTGTTAATAAATTCATAATGAACAAAAATGACTTGAAGCATATTTGTCATAACTGCAATAGTTTAAAAGTTATTATAATTATATAATTATNCGCATACATTGGCCATATGAAGTTGATGTTGATACCTGTAACCACATATAAAAATCACCGAAATCTTATTATCTCATCAATATTCGAGACAGTAGTACAACATGTATGTATCACTTTGAATTATCCTGATTTCCAGAAAAAATATATATCAGTAATAACATCCGCGACATAAATCACTTAAATTATAAATACTGAAATCCCCTTTCTCTGGATTGGGACATACACTGCAATCAATTCTGTTATCCACACATTCCCTGAATATACATATTTTTTTCATGTAATAAAGTCTTTTTTGATATCCTGGGGTTGAAGGAAACCCTGATTTTTGCTTCTGATTCACTTTTTTGCAAATGTCACCGCACACCGTAGTTCTGTAGCACTGAAACAAGTTGTGATTTTCAGTGTTCAACGGTATTTCTTTGCAGTTCGATACAAAGCAGCATGTTTCACTATTCCTCCTTTCTCGAGACTTGACGTTTGGTTTTACAATAAGAATGAACTCGGGTATTTTCTTTTTTCCTCTTTCACAATCAGCTATGGCCAAAAGGATAAAAAATAATGTAATAGTAACAACTCCGTAGTAGAAGTATTTCTGAAACCAAAATAAGTTACTCAATAATAATGAATTATATGCATGATAGAACTAAACAAAAAACGGCATAGAGTCTATGTTCACTTATATCTGCAACTATACAGGGTGAGGTTGGGTTGAGTCCAAAGTGAGTGGGTCAATTCAACCCTCCACCGCAACCCGCAAATGTTTATTGTGTCTCTTAACTATTCACACTCGACCAAATGAATCCAGCTTGCTTCTAAACGGAGCCGATTAGTTTGTATGGTGACAGGTCTTTCAGGTCGGAACTCTAAAAACCTGATTCGGTCCCCAGCGCGGCAGGAACAAAGTATGTGCTCTGATGATTCATCATTTTCCAAACAGAAGCGACATACACTGTCTTCTGACAGTCCGAGTCTCTGCATATGATGATTCAAATGACACTGATCTGTAAGAAAGCGTTAGATATCGTAGTTCATCCCTACTGTAGTCCAACTGTTTGGTATCAAGCTTTGAAGGGTGAATAAACGCCTTGAAGTGGTGTTCAATCTTTGTTTGGCAAAGTCCAAAGCGATGCCAGTGACAGGTGCTGGTCCGAAGAAGCTGCCTGCAGCACCCTCTTTTGCAAGGGAGTCAGCAGCCTCATTGGCTTCCAGGTCAGTATGGCCAGGAATCCAGACCAGAGACAATCTGTTGAGTGGTCCTATCGAGAAGAGTCGTTTTAGGCAATTTGCTTCCAATTTAGATGTTGCCCGGTAGGGATCAAAAGCTTCCAACGCCGCTTGTCTGTCCGATAATATTTTTATTGACTTGTGTATGAGGTTGGATTCTTTCAATCTCTCCGCACACAATTTAATAGCGTAAATTTCCGCTTGAAGTACAAGCTCATAGGTTCCTAGGCAGGTTGATATCACTGTCCTGAGTCTGCGACTGAAAACACCTGCACCAGAACCAGACGGAGTTTTTGATACATCTGTGAACCAACAACTATCTGCTCTTAATATTTTCTTCTCTTTTCTCCATAACATAAGTCGATTGATTTCATCAGCTTTGAAATTGTGTGCTCAGGATTCGATGAAGTCGATCGGGGCCATTTCTGCCTGGTCCTGATTGACGAAGGTTTTACTGATTAGAAAGTTATCAAAGGGCTTGAAAAAAATGGTAATCGGTTGACAGGAGGTCTGGGAAGTCTGGATATACAGGGTGTTATGGAATAAGTGTCCGATATTTTACAGGATGATTCCTCAGTTATGCATAAGGTGAAACGGTCATATAATCATGGGTCTGCAAGGCCTTCATTTTTGAGAAAAAAGATCAGAATATTTAGTTTTATTTTGGTTTTCCGTAAACTTCAATATAATGTCGATATTCGAACGACAATTGGTATTTGGGGACTTTTTAATACAAGAAATTCAAATTTGGTTTCAATTTGGAACTTGATTGTAGGGGGTGCCACACAAGTCTTGGTCGTTTTCGGTAGGACGGTAGCCTGGTGGCATGAAGTTATTGCTTTGCTTCATTCATTCAATCGACCGTAGTGTGAACCGATGGTTCGAGCCGCAAGGCCGGACGACACTTCCAGTCGTCCAACCCGTGTCGGAAATCACACGTTCAAAGTAAGACTTCGTTAGTCTACAGCTCGCACACAGTCCACAGCAAGTTTCACCTTTTGAAAGTTGTCGTTCGTAGGGGAGCAACAGCTGGTGAACGGGAAAACAAATTTCGAACAGTCACAACTTTGTCATCCAAGTATGTATCACATTTTCCAGAGAAAAAATGCTTGTATGCTTGTCAAAAGTCGCTACAAGCAGTCGTTTTCGAGATATTTTGATTTGAATCATTCGATGCATGCGTTTGTCGAAAAGTGAAAGAACATATTTTTTCAATTCAACCTAGAAACATTTGAAACGCTAATTCTTAATCAACAATAAATAATGGAACACCGCAGATATATCCAATTCAAAATCAAAATCAAAATAAATATTCGAAATGTGCACCTCCAGCCTGTATGAACGCATCCAATCTTCTTTTCATTGATTCGCGCACTCTTTGGAAAATTTCTGGAGTGTCTTAACTCGACTTGCAAGATGTAATTATTCGATTTCTCTTCTCCTTCTGGAAAATGACGGGTGTTCTCCTACCGGATTAAGAACTGCTTTCTCAGTTCTTACCGTCCGATCTGAACTCGACAGATGACTAGCTTTCTCAAAACTTTCAGTTTCTTTGGAGAAAATATAAGAAGAAAAGAGAAGAGATAGAATCGTGTGTATATGTGAATCTCAGATAACTCATTTAGTGAACATTAGATACTTGTGATGCACTGTTTGGAACCTTTGTTGTTGTAATGAATATTACTGGAGTTTTTTCCCAACACCAAACCATTATTTTAACTCCTCGACATGCAAGCCTTCAAATTCCATAGTGAGCCATTTTTCTTGCCTTTTGCCGAACGAAGTTTTAGTAGAAAAACTCCTCAAATTTTATACAACATACAAAAAACATCGTTCTGCAAGAAGGTAAGATTTTGGTTCCTTTTGATGTTAGTCTCTTATTTCCTAGCGTCCCAATTCCACAGACCTTGCAATACCTCAGGGAATTACTAGAGAAAAATAATGTCAATAACAACGAAATTGATGAATTCGTTTCTCTCACTAATTTGTGTATGAAACAAAACCGTTTTTAGATAGAAGGTAGCTTTTATGAACAACAGGAGGGGTTACCCATGTAACCCCTTGTCCCTCTACTTGGCAAATCTGTTCATAAGCAGATTCGAGATGGAAACCAAAAAAAAAGTCGAATTATTTTCCTTGGATATGGATCAGGTATGTGAATGATATTTTTGCGATATCCGATAACAAAAATTCCTAACTCACGTATGAGTTAGGAAATGAAGAACAACTTTCTTTTCCTGACATTTTGGTAATGAGGAGCCAATATGGAGGGCTGGAACACAATGTATTCAGAAAGGAAAATAGGCACGTACAGGTATATTCCTGACAGTTCACATCACTGTGGACACTACAAACGTACTGGGCTGAATTTTCTATTTTTTTGACTTTTCCTCTCACACATGAGAGGTTCGCAAAAGAAAAACGTACAATACAGGAAATAGCAGCCACTAACGATTTCTAGAGGGGTATTGTAGATTATTCAATAAGGAAGACATAAAAAAAATTAACGAAAAGGTTAAGAATGAACGAAATCCCGATTTTCAAAAACCAAGAAAACCAAGATGAATATATCTCAATTCAATACCATCAGTACATGAAGAACTCTGGAAATATTTTCAAGGAACTAGGTATGAAGGCGGTTTTTAAAACAAATCAAGTTAGAAAACCCAAAAGACAAAGTCAAAAATTTATAAAATCGAATGTAAGGACTGCGATACAAAATGTTATGGACAGAAAAAAAATATATTAAAATAAGATATAAGGAACACTTAGAATACTCAAAATATTGAAGACCTAAAAAGTCTGCAGTCACATCATATTTTGCAACAAAATCATTCCATAGTTCCATAGATAGTTCAACAATATTACTTAGACAAGTTAACAACAACAGGCATCTAGAGTATAGAGTATAAAAATAAGTAAACATAATAAGATTATGAATAACGATCGTAGGCCGATACCTAATAGTCTACTTTATAGGTTGTTCAAATATTTTATTCATTGAATTCACGTAACTGTTACATAAGGACACATTGTGAAATTAATTTAAGACGCAGGTACCTACCTAGAAGTGATATCTATGTTATAAGTAAGGATAACATTGTAAGTATGTTTAGTTTGATCTTCCTCTTGAAGATGATCACTTGGTGATCGAAACACATGTCGATGTATTAAAATAACAGTTTGCTGTTGGGAAAAAACTCCAGTAATATCCAAATTATAGATTACAAAAATAGTTTATTTTTCAGATTGTGGAAAGATTTAACCAAAAAAAACGGAGAAATAGATTTTCATCAATTATATTTGTGTTTGCTGATAAACACTACAATGTGTGTTCTTGCAGTATCCAAACGATGAAAAAGCACTCAGAAATAATAGGTGAAATAACACGGTGAGAGGAAAAGGCAGATATTTTTCATTTATGAAATAACCAAAAATATATGAAAACAAGTCATACATATTTTGGAAGGAAAACATTTTGTAGTATAAGGATGTAGGCTAGTTTTCGATTGAAGTATGCTATTATTGAATCATTTAAATCATTTCATTGAATTATTGACTTGAATTATTTCAATGGTTTTTATACTTTATACGAAAATCTAAAATTATTTCAGTGATGCACTGTTTGGAACCTTTGGTAAAGAGGAAGATCTTTCTCTTGAAGATGATCACTTGGTGATCAAAACACCTGTCGAGATGTTAAAATAACGGTTTGGTGTTGGTAAAAACCTCCAGTAATATTCATGAAATCATCCTAATTTATAGACAAGTATCACATTTTCGGGTAGCTCTGATTCGTTCTCATTGGAAATTTCTGACATCCATATATTATCGTGGGATTCATCTAGAGTGAGTGACATGAATACATTCATATGTTACTTTATGAAATGATTCAAAAACATTATATTTGAAAATATCACATTATCTAATGAACTATTGATGTTCTATATATTTCCATAAATGAAATCAAAATCATTTTCAGTCGGAGGTCTTTGTTTCACCTAAAAAAGTGAGGAAATGTTAACAGTGTTTTCACCAACGAATATTTTCTGAATGCTATTGATTTTATCTATCGTTTTTGTTCGTTCAACTACCTGTCCTTTCTTACCCAAAAACTCCCGATATAACCGAGTTTTTCAAATTTCACATTTCAGGTTTATACTTGATAATGGGGTTAAACCCGAAACCGGTCGTATAAATAAAATTGACTACTAGTGGTAAATAGGCAAAAGTGTTTCATTTCATTAAGCCGTCAGGAGTGATGAAAAGTGGATTCTCTACAACTGAAGATGTTCAGAACAGTGGCTGGATACAAATTAGCCATCCATGCTCGTCCCAAAGACGAAAACACCCAAAAAAGGACATGGTTACTGTATGGTGGTCAGCGGCTGATGTGATTCACTGTAACTTTCTGAAACTGGGTCAAACCATCACAGCAGAAGTTCTATTGAAAGGAAATCGGCGAAATGTACCTTCAGTAGCAGCCGACACTGGTCAACAGAAAAGGTCCGATCGTGCTCCACAACAACGCCCAACCGAACGTTCCACAAATCACCGTTTAAAAACTTAACGAATTGAGTGTCAGAGTTCTGCTTCACCCACCATACCCCTAAGACCTCTCGCCAATCGACTACCATCTTTCCAATCACTTCGATAACTTTCTCACTGGTAGACTTTCGCCAATTAGGACCAGGCAAACGGCCTCCGTCGACTTCACCGAACCTCGAGCACGTCATTTTTATGTTGTCGGAATCAACCAAGGTGTATTACGTTGACGTGAGTGCACTGATTCAAATGGCGCTTATTTGGATTAAATTGAATGAGTAGTCACTGATATATTACAGTTTGTAGTGGACTCATAAAAATGGACAAAACTGGCGAAACAACCTGATAGTTTTTCAAACAACAGAAATATTGAAATATTTTCAATGAGTGTGTACAGAAGATCTGAGAAACGAACCTCAAAACACTCTAAAAATGTATACAGTATCAAATAAGTAAACTTGTTTCACCTTAAACAATCAATACAAATATCAAATCTAGTCAATGAATTCTTACCATGATTCTGTGTTATTATGATGACATGAACACTTTATAATGAGTTTGTAATGAATGTGACATTTAAGTTCAAAACATAAAAGATAGAGATTGTTTTCGTTGAAAAACTACACTGATTAATTGGAGAAACTACGCCACACTGCATTATTGCATAAATAGTCAACAAGTAAACTGATTACGTGAGAGGCATGGCTCATTTTTGAGTGAAATTCATCAACAACATTAATAACATAAAAATATTTGTCTGATGATTATAATACATTGTACATGCTGATAATAATTATTTTAATGACCCACAAGTACAGAAATCATTTCTCTACTCAATCTGGAAAGTAGTTCGTATTCAGTTATCTACAAGACGTGTTTGCTCACAATATGTTTCTCGTTCGTGGGGAGGAGACAGCAGATTATTAGAAAAATTGGTGTAGAATTGAATAGGTGGAACTATAACACAATACAGTAGAACAAAATCAAATGAGAAAACAAAAATAATACTGAAATTCACGAAAAAGTTTGGGTATTGAAAAATTTTTACTATTTTTTAGATTGCATTATATGGAATTCCAAACTTTGGACACAGATGCTCGAAAAAAAGTTAGTAAGTTTTTCGACAGATTTGTTAATCTATCCGACACAAACACTAAATGAAAAAAAAAATTGTTGGAAAAAAGCCCCAGTCATAACATAAAACCATATAGTAATGTTTGGGTATAGAAACGGAGCTGGCTCTGAGATGTACTTCTATTGATCAAATTCATTCTGATGGAGAAATTAAAATTGTAATATCAATTAGGCAAAAGGCTAACGGTAATGAANAAAATTAGGTATACCAAGCATTAAATTTGTAAAATATAGTAGATAAAGATACGTCCGAAGAAGCCATTGTATGACTTTCATTTAACAATAAGGTTTTTCTTAAATAGGTTACATAATTCTCCACCTAGAAATCAACAAAGACTCTAGGTCTCCATAGCATCGATTTCAAAAATGAGGTTGGGACTAAAAGAAAGAAGGAATCAAATATTTGATGCCAAGAAATTCTCAACGTTCGAAGTACAATTTTGTTTCAATACATGAACAACGATGTTTCGAAACAAATTTCAATGGAAAACGCCAACTTCTTGAAATATCCTGAAGTATATGAATACGTAAATTCCGAATATTTGCTTCTACCATGAACCAGCATCACTCAGAAGAGGATAAATAGTTTTTGAGAAAAAGGTTTCTGGTTTTCTACTCAATCGATTTGCGATTATACAGACTAAAAGCAGCAATGTTCATATGCCCAAATATAAACATTTAATTACACTATAATGATTTCTCATTAAGCTTATACTCAGATTTGGAATAGCAATTTTCGTACACAAAAACGCAACAAATGAAAGATTCTATTGATATAATATTCCGCTCACACATTTGCATCTGATATTTTCATGTTCAATATATTTCCATTGAAGAACTTATTTCCACTTTCGAAGTTATCTGAAAGGCTGTTGATGAAGAGTTGAAGACTAGTGTTTTCATCTTCTGTGGGTTTCTCTTGGAAGTGTATACCTAAATGCGTAATTTTACTCTTTCATATAATGAGTGATTTTTTTGCTGGTATCTTTTTGGCAACACGGTTTTTGACAGATATTGCGTGAATCGTGTCTTACGACTTACGAATGAACAACGCTTGCAAAATTTCAAATTTTATTATCGAAATTCATGCTCGGTGAAGAAAGTGTATTGTGCACGTCTTTCAGTTTACATTATTGGGCATTAAACCACCAATACGCATACGTAGAGTGAGGACCAAAGAAAATATTGCGGCTGTATCAGCCAGTGTTCGTGATGACCGTGAAATATCGATTCGCCGTCGTTCGCAGCAATTGGGCCTCTGCTACTCCACTACGCGGAAAATTTTGCAAAAGGATTTTGGTGTAAAATCTTATAAGATACAGATGAAGCTACAAAAGTTTGTGTTCAGCCATGAGACCCATATCTGGTTGAATGGTTTTGTTAGCAAGCAAAATTGTCGCATCTGGAGTGAAGACCAGCCACAAGCATTGCAAGAGCTACCGATGCATCCCGAAAAAGACACTGTTTGTTGTGGATTATGCGTCGGTGGCTGTACTTCTTCGAATACGACAATGGCCGGAATGTTACTATAGATGGCAAGCGCTATCGTGTGATGATTGACGACTTTTTGTTGCCCAAAATGGAAAAATTGCAAATGCCTAACATGTGGTTTTAATAAGATGGTGCCACATGCCACACGGCACGCGAAACAATGGCCCAATTAAGAGCCGCCTTTGGTGAACAGGTTCAACTAACGTTTGGGGCCCGTCAATTGGCCGCCTAGATCTTGTGATTTAACGCCTTTGGATTATTTCTTGTGAGATCATGTTGAGGCTCATGTATACAGGGATAAACCAGCTACTACTGATGCTCTGGAAGCCAATGTTGAAGCATTTATACGTGAAATACCGGTCGATATGTGCCAAAATTGGACCTTGCGCATGGGCCGTCTAAAGCGGAGTTTGAAGATGATTTGCATGAAATCATCTTCGAATATTAAATTATATTGATCGTTCTATCGATTCCATAAGAAAATATTGCGGCTGTATCCGCCAGTGTTCGTGATGACCGTGAAATGTCGATTCGCCGTCGTTCGCAGCAATTGGGCCTCTGTTACTCCACTACGCGGAAAATTTTGCAAAAGGATTTGGGTGTAAAACCTTATAAGATACAGATGAAGATACAAGACCTCCTACAACGTCTAACATTTGGTGAATGGGCGCTGGCGAAGTTGGAGGAATATCCACATTTTTATCAAAAATTTGTGTTCAGCGACGAAGCTCATTTCTGGTTGAATGGTTTCGTTAGCAAGCAAAATTGTCGCATCTGGAGTGAAGACCAGCCACAAGCATTGCAAGAGTTACCGATGCATCCCGAAAAAGTCACTGTTTGTTGTGGATTATGCGTCGGTGGCTGTACTTCTTCGAATACGACAATGGCCGGAACGTTACTATAGATGGCAAGCGCTATCGTGTGATGATTGACGACTTTTTGTTGCCCAAAATGGAAGAATTGCAAATGCCTAACATGTGGTTTAAATAAGACGGTGCCACACGGCACGCGAAACAATGGCCCAATTAAGAGCCGCCTTTGGTGAACAGGTTTAACTAACATTTGAGGCCCGTCAATTGGCCTAGATCTTGTGATTTAACGCCTTTGGATTATTTCTTGTGAGATCATGTTGAGGCTCATGTATACATGGATAAACCAGCTACTACTGACGCTCTGGAAGCCAATATTGAAGCATTTATACGTGAAATACCGGTCGATATGTGCCAAAATTGGACCTTGCGCATGGGCCATCTGAAGCGGAGTTTGAAGATGATTTGCATGAAATCATCTTCAAATATTAAATTATATTGATCGTTCTATCGATTCCAATGAAGATTTCATAAATTTCTTAAAATGTTTCGTGTTGTTTTGTAAATCAAATTCTATACCTCTTAAAAACTCACCCGTTAGTATGTGGTGAGGACTTCCTGAGAATATCTGTTTCAATTCCATTACAAACGTTTGGTATACAAACTGAATAGAAAAATTGATTTTTGTGTAATTCCAAAATCATATTTGAACGAAGACGTTTTAGATGGAACTCTTTTAAAGTGTTTTTATTGATGTATTTTTTTTAGTTCATTTCACCTTTTTTTACTTATATCATCATATAGAAGTAGTATAAGTTGATAATGTTCATTCACCAATAAATTTGTTTCTTTTTGTTCCATTCATAGTAAATATGTGCATGATGAAGTCACATCGGCATTTCTTTCGCATATGAATTATGAATAATGAAGGTAACTACTCGGTAACGAAAATAATTGATGATTTCTTTATTTAATTGACCACAGAAGCATTGTTGATGGATAAAACAATACAAATCAGTATTATAGTAAAGTGGAAGTACAATCCACAGTGGAAATGGATGAGGTTCAAATACATATAGAATTTGTCGTTCTAATTCAACCATGTATTTTCGAATTTGATGGAGTTTTTGGATATTGTATCCGCTATTATTCCTAACAAATTTTCCACAATGTTCTTGGATGGTCTATAACTCTGAATGATATTTTTTTCAGATTTCAACTCAATTTTGGACTCAGATAGTTGCAGTGACTTTGTCCTACTATTTTTTATACATTTTTTAACTATAACACTAGTCTCTTCCCCTCTCGTATCATATTGGTGTTGTACAGGTATGACTTCAATTTCATTATCAAGATCACCATATTGGGTGATTTGCTGTTCCACGAAGTGCAAGGTGAATATTCCGTTCATACACGTTCATACTAAATTAACCGTACCTTATCATTGTGCATCCTTTTTCAGGTTTTTCCATGTATCAGTGTTGAAACAGACTGCTGTTTCAATTGCAAAACCCATGAATCCATTCTCCAATATGAATAATATAAATATGAATAATAAATAAAGAATGGTAAAATGCCCAAAACTTCACCTTGAGGAACGCCATGATAACATTCTTTGAAGAAATTCTAAATTCGTCAATGTTGACTGACCAGTGAGGTATAATTTCAATAGGTTATACCTCTCACATTATTTTCTAGTTTCTCAAGGAGCCTTGTGTGACAGACAGTATCGAAGGCTATGAAAATGTCAACAAATATACTTAGAGATGGCTATGGAATGTAAAATGATTCATAATTATGAAATGTTAGTTCCTTAATTGCATTCTCCGTCGACCTTTCCCTCTAATCCAATAGTGATGTTCTGACCATAATTTTTGTTTTTGCAATGTTCGAAATCAGCACTATGGGTGGAAAAAGTCCATCCCTGAAACATTCATTTATGAGATATCGATACAAAATGCTCTCAAATCTACAATATGTTTTATAAATTCTCTATTTGAATTATCATTTACAGAACTCTTTTTTGTTTTTAGAATGTTCAATGTTTGTTTTACTATCTTTCTTAAAATACAGTTTTTCAGCAGTTCCTGTGAGTTTGGCGGATTTCTATTAGTTGTTAATACCCTTGAATCGTGGATCAGTTGAATCCACCTTCAAACTGGAAGTGACATTTTTTTTCGAAATTCATGTGTATACCATTTCTTCATTCATTCAGTATTCAGATGAAATGAGTAATTAACATTATTTCCAAGATATTTGAATACATAGAAACACAATATTTTCGAAGACCGCCCCTGGAAAACCATGTTTTAGTGATGCTGAATATTTTCCCGATAAAAAATACCGATGATAAGAGAAAGTTTATAATTTGAGTTACAATTCGCACATATCGTTGTACGTATGAGTATGTATTTCTGGAAATGCTCAGTTGAAGTGTGCATATGCAGTTGTGGTTTTGATTGAAAAATGGTGAGATTATATCATGAATATTTTTTGGAGATTATTTTATCACCCATCATCGAATCACAGTTACATCTATGAACAGATATGTTTCATTTTGTGCTTCGAAATATTTTCTAATGATTGTCTGTACTTTCCAGTGAATCAAACGGTCATGTAACGGAAGACATATTGAAAAGTTGATTTCGTTTGATGAAATGTTGTTGGTTACCTGAATATTGACTTTGGGAACACACAAGAGTTAATTGATTCTGATTTCGAAGGAAGTCATTTGAACTCAATTTTAATTTTTTTATTGCAATTCATTCTGATTTCTTTTTCATAATATATCTATCTTTTTTGGTAACATTAACAAAACTCTATATTTTCTTGATATAAAGAATTGTGGGAAAAATAACCTCATTATTTGATTCATTGCGGAACGAAGTGTTATAAAAAAAGTTTTTTAGGTGATACCATGTTATATCAATACATTTCAGTAAAGATCATGAGTTATGAAAGAGCCAGAGTTTTTTTTCATGTTCAAATCATAATTCTAATTTTGGGAATGGATCATCAAGAAACAAAGAGTCCTTGTATTCGTTGGGGTGGAAGAAACCGCGCTCTCTGCTAAAAATCCGAGATCACAAAACCATGCACTGTGGGCATTAACCAGAGTCTTGATGTTCGATAAGATGCCTGAAGAAATATTTGATAACTCAGATTCGAAGACGGGTAGTATTGAGATTGTAATGTTTTACCAAAGACAAATATAATGTAATTTTTTCCCAATTTCATGCTGGTATTGGAATTTCCAAAGTTTCAATGTACAACCATTTGATGAATATTCGCCATGTACGTAATTTTGTTATATGTCAGTTTCTGAGTTTCAATAATTCAATTCCCCATCATTTCCATCCAATCCCCGAAATGAATATTACTGGAGTTTTTTCCCAGTACCAAACCGTTATTTCAACACCTCGACACGTGTTTCGATCACCAAGTGATCATCTTCAAGAGGAAGATCAAGCGGTTCGATATATCTCTTGAAGATGATCACTTGGTGATCGAAACACGTGTCGAGGTTTTAAAATAACAGTTTGGTGTTGGGATAAAACACCAGTAATATTCATTACTACACCAAAGGTTCCAAAAAGTGCATCACAAGTATATTTTGAAATGATTGCTAGATTCATTCGATGAATACCACACTCCTTTTATTAAACTTTTCGAATACTTCGTAATGTTCTTTTTAGTATAAAACAAACAATTACATCCCTACATGTTCACTATTTTTCCCCACTAAAACCTCCTCGAATACTGAATTTCTTAGAAAAAGTTCATCTTCGTAGCAGTATTGAATTATTCATTATTCGTATGTTTCGTGTACAGTCGAGTATAAATTAGAATTTTTTTTTTCGAGGTGTGTCGAATGCAGCTAGTTCTGGTAACAACTCTCATGATATTGATAACTTCAACACCAACTCATGGAATTTTCACCCTGAAGAAGTCACTCATAATATTACAATCTCGTCATCGAAGATTGGCTAAATCGGCTTGCTGCTTGATGCCAGTATGTAATGATAAGAGCCATTGTTATCAAACATTGAGTTGTGGACATCTTTGTGAGGAACGGTAATGTATTACTGAGAATAGAAAATGCGTAAAATAATATCATTTTGGAATCATAAAAATGTTAGCGAATTATAAAAACTTTTTGTGCTTGAAAAAATTGAATAACTGCAAAATGCAATGTTCTTATTGTATTCAATACATTTGGGTATTTGTTATCTTCCACAATCTGAAAAATATTAAAAATTATATTGGAGAACTTTATACAAGTGTAGAAGGGCAAACTTTTTAGTTTACTCCGATGAGTTACTGCGTAAAAATCAAAGTATTTTTCACAAAGAAAAATCTTCTATTTATCAGTAACCTGTCGTATTCAACAATTTTGCCTATCAAAAAAATTGTTGAGAAATAATACTTATCTTTTACGTTTCGGAGGCCAAAATCTGCCTCCGTCTTCAGAAATGGATAGAAAATTCGAATATATTCGCAGTTATTCCTTTTTTGATAGTTTATTTCTCTACTTCTTCGACATATGTCAAAGAAGTTTTGAAATATAAAATTATGTCAATGTTGTTGATTGACAACTGAAACATTCGATGTAGGTAATACAAAATGTAAAAGATAAGTATTATTTCTTAACAATTTTTTTGATAGGCAAAATTATTAAATACGACAGGTTACTGATGAATAGAAAATTTTTCTTTGTGAAAAATACTTTGATTTTCAAGCAGTAACTTATCGGGGTAAACTAAAAAGTTTGCTCTTCTACACTCGTATAAAGTTCTCCATTATAATTTTTATATTTTTCAGATTGTGGAAGGTAACAAATACCCAAAAAAGGTCGATAAAAAACTGATTTTTCCTCCACAAAAAATGACTTTCGTTGAATATGTTCAAATTTTTGATTGATTTTTGAAGAATTTGAGGTAGTCTCTTCATGTTTATTCAAAAAACATGCATCTAACACACATTTGCACTAAATATAATTATATAAGAATGCCAAATATTTGAGCCTACGCCTCGAAACTCATGGTTCACTGGAGATCATTCACGTCTTATTCCAATCAATTCCATTTGAAGGTTAGTATCATTTTGAATCATGTTTTGGTATTTATGACTCTGTTCTTATCTTGATGATCATTCTGGCGCACTTTCATGGGTCTTGATTCACCACAAATATTATTTTATAATGATGAGAATATTATGGTGTATTTTATGTATTGAGTTCCAACATCATATCAATTACCAATTTGATTTTGTTCATATAGTCCTGAAATATGAGGTATAACATGACTGACACTCCTGGCACTCAGTATATAGTCAATCTATGCTTGTCCGCCAGTTCCCTCAGTTTTTCACGGCGTTCCCAGATCGGTTTCGATATCAATTTGGGGTTCGTCAGTTCCTTAATACAACAAAATTCAGCCGGTAAGACTGACCGAGTGACTGAAATAAGGATTCATCCCCGCTCAGTAAAATCAGGCTCCCGTTTCATGTTCACTTTTAGACCCGTCTGTATACTAGGATTTTCTGCCGAGCAAGTTCATAAGATGACTCCCAATTCAACACTCTTCGTTGTTCAATATTTCAACCGCAAAGTTTGTGAAGAGCCTGTATTTCGGTGTCATCTGTTTCAAAAACAAGTTTGTTGTTCCGAAATTTCAGTTTTGTCAGATCCAATGTAACACTGTGAGTCTGAATTAGCCCACTCTTGTTTTCCTCATCATCACTTAATGCAAAGGAGGAAGATTCAAATGTGTCTCCGAAACAGCTGTGGGATAAGTTTTGATTGCTTTCGTTAATTTCGAACATGCAAGATTTGCATCCTGTTCAGTTTATTTATAGTGGTTGTTTGTTTTATTTTTGATCATCAGACCATAGATGCTTATGTTATCATGGATTCAACCGCCATGGTGTAGAGTGAGTACATCTTCCTTTAGGTGGGTTGGACAATGAGTGCTACCTCAGCCTTTCTATATTTTGGTTTGATATAAGGCATAATATTTTTGGAAACCTTATATGTTACAACTTTTTATAATATCGACAATAATAACTCCACTTGAAATATCCATCCTTTTCTTCAAATATATTCGTGATAATCATTAGTATAGGACTCTGGATCCGTCTCTGTGTACCATTACCGCTATGAAATATTAATATGTAACTTCTTCATATCAGCCATCTTAAAATGAGTTGCCTCCAATACCAGTTAAAGAGCTCTTCATATATTTCTCTAAAGCTTTCTGATACTTTCCTCTTCCCTCTTCTGGATCAGATACACATCAATACCTGCGTTCAAAACAATTATCCCAACCTCTTTCTAATTCAGTCGCTGCTCACCTGGAGTCATTCCACATGGAATTTCGAATTTTTTCCAGTCATCGTGAAAAAAACATTCCATGACCTTCAATAAGCTTTTCAAAGTCCTGCAAAAAACCAGCATTCATTTTGTTGTTCATAGATTTACAGAACAAAAATTCAAATGATTGCAATAAAATCGTATAAAAAACTATTTTTATTTCAAAACTATTTCAAAATGTTTTGCCTTGCGAAGTTATGTACTACTCTATTATTGTTTGAATAAATTCACAACACCAACTCTGTTATTTCAGACAATTTCTTTTTTCGTGTTTTCTCTAGGGTATTCAAAACTAATTCGTCATTCTTTCAGGCTTTATCCTTGGTCCAGAAAATGATATGAGTAGTTAAGTAAATGCAATAACTGCAATCCCTGGTATCTTCAAATGATGCTGATGTAGAAACTACTTTTAGACCTAAAGTAAGATGTAATTAAGAAAGTGATTATTTTTGATACAAGAAAACGTATGCAAAATATTCCTAGATCCAATAGTTTGAATAAAATATTTCGAGTGAACAAAATGTTGTATGAATTGTGTTTTATTTTATTTGAGATTGATGCCCCTCCACTATTCTGAATATTTTAATTATGATTGTCGAAAACACCTCATATTCAGTAAAAATATAAGGAAATATACAGAATGTTGCGTTGATTCATATTATGGAAAGTATAAATAGACAAATTATAATTATTTTGAAGAAATAATGCTGTAGTTAATTCTCAACACTATACCGAATATATATATCAAAACTATTCGAAAACACAATGGCCACAAGACTAACATATTTCTTCTCAAACTTCAATATGTTTGCTAGTCACCAACACGTGACTAGCACGTGAAAAAGAAATCAATTGCGACAGCTCTTGTTAATTTTAGTAATGAAATTCTGGAAGCAATAGAAAGAGGGGATCCATCCTGTGGGACTTTCATTGACTAATCTAAAGCCTTTGATTTTATAGATCATGATCTTCTACTAGGAAAACTTTACAAATATGGAATTCGAGGGAACTCCTATGACTGGTTCAAGTCGTATCTAAAAAGCAGAAAACAAATCGTAGAACTGAACTTGAAAGATACAGCAGCACGATCAGAGGCTTTGGAGACGTCTATGACGTAATGACATAAATATGCTGGTAAATTCAAATTCCGCTCACATAGTTAATCATGCTGATGATACCAATTCATTGTTGACATGTGCAAACTTACCACACATAATAAAACATGGTAGTATCCCACATAGCAATAGATATTCCAGGTATATTTCATGAATATACATTTAAGGATATTGTATTATGCTATGAATATGCCATGGATATATATATATCTTCTGGAGAATATTCCCTGGAAGTGCTCCTGGCGAACCTTTGATATATTTTAAGAATATTCCTTGATATAGGATACACAGCGAAAGATATTTTAGAGATTAAAAGAAACACTAAATTACCAGATTACCCGAAAGCCATAAGTGCACCAGAAAATCCAACAAAACCATCCGCAGAGAGAGCTAGAAAAGAAGAGAAGGAATCAAAAAACTGCAAAGAAGATAGAAGAGGAAACAAAGGAGGTGAAAAATAAAAACACAGCTAACAGCCATATTGGCAGCAGTTTCACGCAAAGGAGACCAGAAACCAAAGAAAGAAAAAATTCAGCAAAAGAAATTCAAATGAGGGCTACCCAGAAAAACTCAAAGTAGGTAACAATATATCTCGAGTTATATTTTACACACATCTCGTTTTTTGTGATCTATATTATTGGTGAATATTACTGAAAATATGAATGATTATCTCAGAGACTTCCATATTGAAACAGTTGAAGCAAAAATATTTGAAGATGTCTCGCAATTAATGAAACTTGAAAAGTCTAGGGTAGATATCAAAAAACTTCACAGTAACATAAGGAGTGTGAATAAGAATCTTGACCAAATGAAAGTATTACTAGAAGAAACCAAACATATTTTTGATAGAATAATTCTATCTGAGACTTGGCAAATTAGAGATATAAACCTATATAATATGACTGGGTATAATCTCATTTTCAATCATGGTAACGTGAACCAAGATGATGGAGTTATTGTATTTATTAAAAATAATTTATATTTCACTCATTATATAATACATTTATCAAATGGAATCAAAATTATACAGGTGGAAGTTGAACTACACAATAAAAATATACAATTAACATCTATTTACAGATCACCATCTACATCAACTAATAATTTCAATGAAAGTTTGTCAGAATTTCTAGAATCTTGTGAAGATAATAATAATAATGACTATATTCTGATAGGAGATATCAATATCAATATAATGGAAAATGATGACATCACAAATAACTATCTGAATACACTTAGTGCTCATGGATTCACATCTTATATAAATTCGGTAACAAGGATTAACTCTGGTACTTGTATAGATCATTGTTCCGTAAAAGATACCTCAAATAACTACAAATACAATTCATTCGTACTTGAAACAGATATAACTGATCACTTTTCTATTGCACTACAAATCATTTCAACTGAAACAAAGTAAAAATAATTTGATTCATCGAAATATAAAAAATTTATCGATAACAAAAAACTAAAACAAAACATATGCGAGGAAAATTGGCTGGATTTATTCTCGATAGATGACATTAAACTTTTTTTTATCAATTTCAATTATTCTGTTTATATATGAAGCAACTCTGTCCTCATATGAATGGCAACCCTCTAAGATTTTCAGAATATTTTTTTCAGATGAAATAGTACACAAATAGTGATGATACTGAGAAATTTTATAACATTATACAAAAACAAACAATTTTTACAATCACCAGAAATGTAATACTCTTCTCAACCCGCGTTCATCAACCAAGTTAGCGTCTTCAGGATATGAAGAAAATAGATTTCCGAATTGAATAGCGCCGTATTCAATGACTTTGTTATCAGTCAGTATCCTCCGAATGACCATAATACCAAATTCATTTGAGAATTGATTTCAACATATATTTCTTCCGGAGTCCACGATGTGGTTGCACCTCTAATCTTAAAGAGAGTTCATCGTTTTCAAAATGAAATCGTTTTCAAAATGTGAAGATACCTGAAAGTATTTCTCCGAAAAGTGGTGAAATGAAAATGACGTTGGCAAATGTATAATATCATTATACATTTGCCAACATCATATATTCATCAATTTGAATTTTGCCCCCTTCGAAGTAGTCCCCCTCAGATATTATACATTTTCCAACGTCTTTTCCAATCCTCGAAGTTCTGATTTGCACTCTTCAATCTTGAGAACAGAAAAAAGTCACCGAGGATCAAATTTGGTGAATATGGGGGCTGAGGTATGATCACGGTGTTGTTTTTGGTCAAATAATCACGAACGAGCCATTACGATTGAACAGGTGCATTATTGTGATGCATAAGTCATGACATATTTTTCCACAATATCAAATCCTCTTTCCGTATTGTTTCTCACAAGAGGCGCATAACTCCAAGATAATTCTCCTTATTAAACGTACGATTATGTGGCTGGAATTCCTGAGCGTTGCTCAGAAATTTTCGTTTTTTTTGTCAAAATTGAACAATCTTGAAATGAACTTTGCTGCCACTTAGGTTAGGTTAGGTCCAAAGTCCACCGCAACCCGCAAGGGTTTATTGTGGCTCACATCTATTCTCACTCGACCAAACAAACCCAGCTTCTTAACGAAGCTGAATAATTTGTATAGTGAGTGGTCTTTTAGGTCAGAGTTCGGCAGAGCCGTACTCTAAAGACCTGATTCGGTCCCCAGCGGGGCAGGCACAAAGTATATGCTCTGTTAATGAGGTAGTCGGATAGTCAAGTTGCAAGATTCCCACCTTGATACCCACGACAACCTTCCCATATGAGGGTTTTTGCACGTTAGCTACACCTGACGATGCCTTAGCCGTGCAGGGCTTTTTTGCCTCTGGTTTTGGTGAAACCTCACTTGGGCGCAAACGTTTGCTAACCTGCTTATGGGGACTGTAGACTCGCTCCTTAACTAAATTTACAGGGAGGTCCGTTGGAGTCGTAAACTCGATATCTATCTCCTCTGGAGACTCGCTCCTGAATTAAATTTACAGGGAGGTCAGTTGGAGTCGTAAACTCGACATCCATCTCTCGCTCCTGAACTAAATTTACAGGTAGGTCAGTTGGAGTCGTAAACTCGATATCCATATCCTCTTTAGACTCGCTCCTGGATCAAATTTTACAGGAAGATCAGTTGGAGTCGTAAACTCGACATCCATCTCCTCTAGAAACTTGCTTCTGATATAAGTTTGCAAGGAGGTCAGTTGGAGTCGTAAGCTCAACATCCATCTCCTCTATAGACTCAGCGTCAGAAATAATTTTCAAGTTCACTCTGTCCATAACGATCCCACGTGTAGCTAGGGAAAGACGGTCAATTACGGCAGAGCCTCGCATTACCGTGACATGGCGATGCTACGACGTGAGGTCGCCCGGTATCTCGAAGGTTCCGTAGAGACAGCTGATAGGCTCAGTGTCATTCATCCTCTCGGCACGGATACAAACACCTAGGGATCAAGCCATCGTTGGGATGCCATTCAGTTAGGGAATAACAGAACCACTAGTGATTCTGTCACTCCCGTATCCAGCGGGGCTACGTGGAAGCAGACATTCAATGGCCGGTTTGCTCAACCCCCACATCCCAAGCCAATGCACTGGCCAAAAACAGCATGCACAGTGGTTCAGGCAGCCGAAGATGAACAAAGACAGCCAACCCGCCAGGACAGATCTTATGTGAAGAAATGGTATAGCAATATCGTCCATTTATTTAATTCAATCAATTTAAAAAAGTCATCGAGGACGTTTTCTCCGTATTGTTTCTCACAAAAGGCGCATAACTTCAAGATAATGCTCCTTATTGAACGTACGACGATGTGGCTGGAATTCCTGAGCGTTGCACAGAAATTTTCGTATTCTTTGTCAAAATTAAGCAATTTTGAAATTGACTTTACTGACACACACTTCATGTCCGAAAAAATGGCATGGCATGAGCCAACTTCTCTAATAGTGATTCGACAATTCTCCATAACTTTTTTTTTACTTTATCATCGGTTGTTGATGTGCTGAGGCGTCCAGGACAGGCATCGTCATTGACATATTCTCGACTTTATATGTTGGTACACAAAATTTGATGCAAATTTTTTGCTATGACAGAAAATTGCTGAATACGCAAAACACTTCTAACACTTCTAACACACGAACAAACTAAACATGATACCCGTCATGTTCATGACGAGTGTAACAATATAAAAAATTGAAAAAATTGAAAAATTGCTAATCGGATATAGGTAGTCCGCGAAATCTAAAAATCCATCCATTCACTTTTATTCATACCAGAAATAAAAGTAGTATTTCAATATTTACTACTTCTTCCTGAGTGAAACAAAATATGAATCAATCAACATCAAAGTATATGTAGGTAGATATCTTAACGAGAACTGTACTTATTACATACAGAGTGGCCCAAATTTTTATTTTTCACTTCCTTCAAATGAAAG